AGGTGCAATGAGGTAGGTGCCGTTCTTCTCCTTCAAGTACTCCGAATTGCGTCTGTCTGCGGGCGTGTCGCACGTCGCAAGGCTGTCCAGCTCCTTCAAAAGGGCCTCGCCCTTCATGCCCATGACATCGCGGGTAGTGAGGACTTCGTTCTTGCCGTTGAGAAGCCAGATTGGCGGGGTGTACGTCTTCCACCAAACGGCCTGGGTCGCGTCGGGCTGCTTGCTAAGGAACACCTGTCCAGGCACGATTCCTCCTTGGTGGTAAACGCCCATGAGGATGCCAAAGACCAGGTTGAAGCCAATCCAAGTAGCAATCCAGGCCCGAAGAACGGTGCGGCTCTTTGGCACATTGACCGACGACAGGATCAGTGGAACTGTTGGCAGCAGGAAACGGGCTTCCTGGTGCTGGAAGATAGACAACACAAAGACGCCGGAAATGGCCGAGTAGAGCCGCAATGAGACATGCGGCTGCGTGAACAACAGCAAAGCAGCAGGCCCGATCAACATGGGGATATTGACCAGGAGGTGTTGGTACCAGGGGTGCAGTCCATGCTGAGCCAGGTTGTCGGGGTTGATGTTGTACATGAGGTTGTTGAGTGGCGTGATGACGGGGCGTGAAATTAGATCTGCCCACTTGATGGGCTCGGGAAGGTAGAATGCCGTGTCTAGGGTGATGGCAACGAGGGTGGTGGTGAGTGCAGCTAACACCATGACGGTGAGGGAGAGAGGTCTATGGGTTTGTCAGTGCTGCTCGCTGTGGCGTGAATCAATGCCTCTTACCTATTGACAAAATGTGGTATCAAACGAAGTCCCGGAATCAGCAAAAAGGCCGGGAAAGTAATCCTATTAAACAACCCAAAGACAGCCACGATTCCAAGGATCGTGGAAGCAAGAAGCGACGATTGTTGCTGTCACAAACGTCAATATCCCGTCAGACTCAAGGGTTAAGGGCAGCTCACTGGGCTTTCAACAATGCGCTGAATCAAAACCAAGCACCATGCGACCACCAAACACTCCACTGAGTTCGAAAAAGTGTGGGTTTGGTAAGTCCATGTCACATATGACGAGGCTACGAGGAGCACAGCGACGCGCCGGTGGCGCGGGGAGCTGATGAGCTCGTGGATGGCCCAGTCCTCCAAGACGAAGCTGGTGACGAACATGAGGACGCGCAGGGTCCAGAAGACGGCGATCGGAGGGATCTCTCCGTCATGGCCGTTACCGATCCATAGCCATCGTAGAAGCAGCATGGGCAAGCCGTAAACGGGCCATAACGGGAAAACGCTCCGGATCGGGTGTTCGTTTGTGAATTCCCATGTGTGTCGAACGGGGTAGCTAAAGATTTGGCCTGCGCCACGCGTTAGCTCAGGTACTCCAAAAAGCGAGAACGAGCGCGAAAGTCAATGCGAGCTCCCGGAAGCTCGGGGGGAGCTCCAAGGCGCAGCAAAGAGCTGCGCGCGCCCGGCGCAAACGACGCGGGTTGCGGCAGCGACCAAGTCGATCAACATACCAGCGATGACCTCTGGGCCTTGGAAGTTCTCGTCCGGGTGTAGATAGCTGGGGGACAGCGCAAACCACAGCCGGACCAGGACGAGGAACAGGTATAACCGCCGCCACATGGCTTTTGCTCTTGATTATCTAGTCGTCGCAGGGCGGCCTGTAGCTGGGGAATCGGTTCGTGATCTGAAGCAAAAGCTTGCAAGTCGGGCGCAGGATTAGCCCGGGCAAGGTCGAGGGATCGTTTGGGTGGAACAGGAGTGGTCGCAAAGTAGCATTATCGAGGGGGAGGGGGCATGTATTGAACAAGTATGCGACTGTTCGCCCGGAGCCAGGAGGATTCGAGAATGAGCAAGAAGTAGGATGGAGAAAGACAAGCAAGAAGAGAAGCTTGGAAGATTAGGGCGAGATAGGTAAGGTGAAGCAAGCCGGGTGAAGGTGAGGGAGGGAAGAGAGGAAAGAAAAGAAGAAACGGGTAAGGTAGAACAAGGCACAGGCTATTGCGTAGGGTGATGGTCAGGATATTTTGGAGCAGCTCTCAGTCGCAGCTGCACGGAGGGCCCTCCTTAGGCGCTCCTTGGGTGCGGTGCGAATAGGTGGTGGGTGGATGCTAAGGGCAAGGTTCGGACGGGACGGGATGACTGATAGGTGGCCCACGCCGGGATGGTGATTTTGTTCTATTGCAAGGGATCCGCAATCTCTGATTAAGGTGGGAGGCACATGGCCCTGGCTCCTGCCGTTTTATGATGCTTCTCGAATCACCAGAGCTAGTGACGGACCACCTGGCAGTCGACAGGTCGGGTGAGGTTGACTTAGGTAGAGAAAGTGGGTGTCGAGGTCGCGGATTGTCATTTTAGCAAGGAGGGCTTCGCTGCGTGTCCTGTATACAAGCTGGCAGTCGGCTGCTCGAGGAAATGCTTATTCGACGGCTCACAGGGGTCGCCAGCCCAGCGAACCCAGCGAACCCAGCAGTGCCGTCCCACGGTGCAGCGTGACGCGACGTGGTTGCTGGCAAAAAGTGAGACTTTGGGAAGTGTGCCCTCCGATGGCCCCTGTTGCAATGCAGAACCCTGCCAATGTTGCTTCGCCGGGGCCTCCTTCTGGAAGCACTAATCCCCGAACGGGTAAGGCGGAGCCTGGAATGCCACCAGCAGCAACTGCAGCTGGGAGTCTGGGACGTGGACTCACTGTTGGCAGTGGATGCCGGTGGCTCCTTCTTCTTCTTCCCCGGTCTTCCAGTCCAGTCGTTGTTGATGCTCTCCCTCCTCTCCCAACGTCAAGGGACCCCCTTTCCCTTGCGAGGCCAACCAAATACGTTCGATCCAGTCAGCAGCTTTCTCGAACCACTGCCATCTCATTGTCTTGTTGTCATTATGCATTGCGCATCACGGTTGCTCCCCATCAGCCAGGGACTCGCTTTGTTTCTTGGGGTCGCTTATCTCTCGAGCAACACGCGCACCAGACCAAGACCAGCCTTGTCCGATTGTCCCAGAGAGTCTGATATCAGACGAACAGACATAATAACATCCTTAGCCTCTGCGGGTATCAATTCCGGCTCCTCGGGCCTTGTCATAGTCCGAAGCGCTATGTGTTATCATCTCGGTGCCACGGACAGAGGCGCGCCGCCTACGGTTGTTTGCGCGACCTTTGAAACGGGCCTCCTATCAGGACACTATTGGACAGGAGTTGAGGATCGGTAATGATGCAACAAGCAGCACACAATGTCTCGCCGTCGGAATGTGGTTTGCAGGGCCAGCGCCTCCCTGCCCACGCCGTGGGGTCGTGGAGTTGACAGGCCTCTTAAGTGCCTGCAGCTCGCTTTCGCCTTCAAACCCCGCCAGCTTCGACTTCATCGTCTTTCTACAGATCTCCGTCTGATTCTTGCATCGGCACCGAACCATGGGTCCTGCACGTGATGATCTGCCTTTGCAGAGACTCTGCGCTTATTCGGACGGTGAGTCTGACGCGGGCCTGGCGGTGAGGCTTGCATTCACCGCCCAGGGTGAAGTACTAAATAATTCATGATCAACTTGGGCGCAAGAAAGACCTCTGCTCATACCGACTCTGTTGGGGCGGAGCTTTACTACCTACTACGGCCCGAACGCAGCTCCGGACCCACCGTCCCGATCCCGTCTCTCCGTCCGAGAGTGCAACGCTGTTTAACCACATTTCCTATTTCCAGAACTCGGAAATGGGGGGCACGCAGGTTTGTAGCAAGGTGTGGAGGTTTGTTCTTACGTCCAGCCAACATCTTTACACTCTCTGAGTCACACTCGGCGACTGGAAGGCGTCCAGGTCCTCATGCACCGCAAACCCAACGGAACATAAGTAGACTGGAGATGGCACCGAGTCCAAGCCTCACGACTAGAAGAGATTATTGAACGCTTGAAGATGTAGCACCATCTCCAGTCTGCAGAATTAGCACCTTGGGTGGTCTAGATGCATCTTCTCCGAGCCCTCTCTCAATGCAAATCGGCTTTCGGTGGATATCGTGGCTGGTGCTCATCGACTTCGGATGTGGCTGACAGCATTCGATGTGGCTTAACCCGAAAGTTCTCTGGAGCATTTGTACCTGGAAGGCTCAGGTGAGATGCATGACATAATGAAGCCATGCATCCACGCCGGTATGGACATATTGAACCATTTTCCAACCCCAAGCAGAACTCAAATAGGGAAGGCCAGCTACAGTGTACCGTTCGAACCTGACGACGATAGAGATCAGGAAAGATGCCCATGACAGCCCCGCCGATCTGTGGCCGTCAGGCTGCCATGGCTGGACATTGCAGTGTGCGTAGAGGTATCTGCGGTCGGGGAGGACTCACAGAGTAAAAGAGCTAGCAAGGCTTCTGCCTGAAAACCCTTGCTTGAGGTGAATGCAAAGACAGAGCGGCCTTTTCCCCTCAGGGATTCCTGCCTCCAGATGCTGCGGCGTAGCGGGCTCCTTTGAGGCCTCAGTGCTGGGCCGAATAAAGGTTCGTCGTGGACAAGGCGCCATTCACCTTGCTGCTCCAGGCATCAGAGCGGTTCCGGCCCGCAAATATGTTACCCCAGCCAATGAGAAGCCGGGCAGCCTCCTTTCTTGCTCGGGTACCCTACGATTCTGAAGGCAACCACGCGCCCCTCCGACCCTTCCTGTGTGCTGTCCCCACAAAGAGAAGGTACCTACCTACCGTACCAACCGCTTTGCCCCCCAATACCTTGCCGACCAACGTCAGACAGTGAATCAGCACAAAAGCATCTCCATCCGCAACCCGTAGCCGCCATTGTCTGCTACCAACACCACTTCGTCCAAACCACCTCTCTGTCGCGCCCACTCCAGTTTCTTTCTCCGATTAGCTTTCTGTAGGTATATCTACTGCATTGCTTTCCGTCTTCGTCGGCCAACCCAAATCCTCACACTTCCCTCATCAACCCCACCTCGCTGCAATACAGCTTCGCACGCATTTCTCTGCTTCAACCAACTGACATCGTTGAGATTACTCGCAGACACACATACATCAATCAAGATGGCCACCGAAAAGAAGGAGCAGAAGATCTGGGTGCAGTCCAACGACAGCATCACCCTCCCAGTCGGTACGTCACATCTTTTTCTCTCCGAGGCTTGCTCCTTCCTCCGTTGTCGCATCCTGCTAACAGTTGAATTCCAGACCGCGTTGTTGCTGAGCGCTCCATGCTCATCAAGAACATGCTTGAGGACGTCGGTGATGATGCCATCAGCCAGGAGAACCCCATTCCTATTCCCAACGTCAACGAGGCCGTCCTGAGAAAGGTCATCGAGTGGTGTGAGCACCACCGCAACGACCCCCCCGTTAACGCCGATGAGGAGAACGACGCTCGCAAGAAGACGACTGAGATCGAGGAGTGGGACCAGAAGTTCATGCAGGTTGACCAGGAGATGCTCTTTGAGATCATCCTCGTATGTTATACCCTTTTCATGTTCCTTCCCAGCTAATGCTAACCTTTTCCCAGGCCTCCAACTACCTCGACATCAAGCCCCTCCTTGACGTTGGCTGCAAGACCGTCGCCAACATGATCAAGGGCAAGTCCCCCGAGGAGATCCGCAAGACCTTCAACATCACCAACGACTTCACCCCCGAGGAGGAGGAGCAGATCCGTCGCGAGAACGAGTGGGCCGAGGACCGCTAAGCAAATCCTGGGAGCGGCGGGATCATCTAGATAGGATATCCCGTGCCCGCCATTTATGTGTTATGCATCGTTTTCTGGCGTTTTCGACGATTCCAAGGGCACCCAAGGGTCACGGTTTGCTTAGGGCGGGAATTGGTGAAGGAAGGACTCACCGCAGTGCGCATTCGAAGACCGCAAGGTAGTGTGGGTTGTCTTTTTAGTTTGCTTCACCGCTAGCATTTCAAGGCAGACCGTCTCTTCACCATTGCTATTGACTCATCTCGTGAAATGACGGATGTACCCGTGTGGGAGAGTGTGGCTTTTTCATGGACCACTGTGTCTGGATCGCTGCTCGTGTGTGCCTCAACATTTTGAGAGTTCTCGCAATGAGACGGGTGCCATATAACAGCCACATATTGCTGCTCAGCGGTCATTAAATCCTACAGATGTCCAGATTGAGGAACGAACCTGACTGCTAGATTTCACGGCAGCAGAGGTTTTCATCACATCGTGACGTCTCTATTTTGGCATCGGCAAAAGAAGAAATGGGCAAGTGGATAGTGGGTCGCCGTTGAGAGTACCATCCAGCCATCTACATACCAACGAAGCTCACGCGTTCCTACGGCACCATTGTGGCCTACGACACAGCCAAGATAGAGAGGCCCGATTGACATCTATAGAATCTATACAGGCCTGGATCTACGGACCTTAGTTGGGCCACTTTGACCCGTGTTGGTCGCCCATGATAGATGTGCTATCGTGTAGAAGGGCCGAGCCTGTCCAAAGCTGATGGCCAAGCAAGCCCATGAAGGCAGGGGATCTTAAAAGACTCTGAGGCCAGTTTGCCCCAGCCCACATCACACGACAGACACCATGAAGCGGGAGAAGCAGGCGTGGGACCTCGTTATCTTCATTCAGAGGCATCAAATGATTTGGCATTCCTTTCCCTATGACCGTAACATGCAATGCGTGGTGTCTAGCCGGAGCCGGGCATCCATTTTCCCTCCATAATTTTCCACCCCGAAGACTCCCACGATCAGACTCTTGCCGATGAAATTTAGAGTCCGTCTTAACTCCTCCCAGAAATTCCAAGTAGAAGTTCCATGTCGGTCGGCGGTGCCATCGAGATGAGACACACTGGTTCGGATTTTTGGGAAATCGAGATTTCGTGCGAGGTGTTTAGATGCCGAGGCGGGTCTTGCGCCAGTGGCGTCTCTTCGCGTTGTAGCTGTAGGAATCAGTGTCAGTAAAGATCGGTTGCTTCGTGTCGGGGGGAGCGCGCGCGCGCCCTAGGATCTCGTCGTGTCGACCCCAGAGACGGCAGCAGAGGGTGTATCGTACCGAATGGTGTTACCAGTGCGGAGACGGATCCATTGGGGGATAGGGCGGTTCTGCTTCTGCGCCTTGGCGAGCTTCTGCTTCGTGCGGAAAGACTTGTGGCTCTGTGATGGTTCGAAAATGTCAGCGCTCTGCTTCCCTTCGTGGTGTTTGAGGACCCCCGGGTCGTGGTGATGATATTTGCCCCTCCTCGATCCGTCCGCCAGCGCCGCGCGCCCGCGACCTGCGCGAACCACGCATTTCTCCGGTGAAATCGATCGGGCACAATATCATCATCGTCGTCGTCGCGGGGAGGGAGTAGGCGTCATCACGTACCGGCATTTTGACGGCTGTTGGCTGATCAAGGTAGTCGAGTCCTTTGGGTGCAGTTGGTTCTCCGATGGGTTTGATGGTTCGAAAAATCATAAATTCTGTGTGAGAAGGCACTAGGTTAGGCGAGCCCGCAAATACCCTGATTGGCGGGGAGGGCAGCGGGTGGAGACGGTCACGCTTTTTCGGAAGGAGTCACTGCACGACTTGAGGCTTGCGTGCGCGCCTCAGCCTCAGCGGCTGCAGCTCGATTAGATAAGGATTGCAGTGACGCTTTCTCGAGTCCTCGACAGGTGGAGGGTCATTTCTCCTTGCCTCAGGCAGCAGCGTCAACAGAATTCGGCTTATGTGATAATCCCTGACGTGCCGATAGGCTCGAGCGGCCGACGATCCCAGAAGTGGCAGGCCCGCGGACCCGTTGGAACGCCCAGAATTAACCATCCATGCAGGGCATGTCTTAAAAACTGTCAATTAGGGGGCCCTTTCCGTACCTTCAGGGGCCATCGAGATTCTTTTGCAACGGTCCTTTGTCTCCCACCTCTCAAAGCCGCGGAGTTGCAAAGAAACCAGAAACAAGTTTTTGCTCCCTTTTACTTGACGAGACGACGAAACGAACGACGGACGTTGAAACCAAACCGGAAGAGGGAGTGTGTGTGCCTGAGTTGTCCTTTTAGGTTGTCGTTGTTTCCTGCTTCTTTGTACATAACCCGGACGACCGTCTTGTTATTTGTCGCCCCCCTGGATCGGAAGAAACAAGCCACCTTTTAGGTTGTCAAGCCTCGCCTTGCCTACCTACCTACCTCTCCTACCACGACCCGAGGCCAACCGCGCACCTTTTTGAAGACTGCGACATTCTGCAGTCGCAGCGGCGAAACGCAACATCAACCCCAGCAACCGACGAAGTAACGACACATACACATCCAACAAACCGTCAAGATGGGCGCGAGCATGTCATGGCTGTCCGGCCTCTTGTGGTCGAAGAAGGAGATCCGGATATTGATCCTGGGCTTGGTATGCATGCACCGCACCCGCGCCGCTGCTGATGCTGCTGTTGGCCGGCACCCCTGGAGCCAGCGACCTCCGAAACGCAAGAGATGCAAGGCTGACAAACCGCGGGCGACTTGCACAGGATAACGCAGGAAAGACGACACTGTTGTACAGGCTGAAGGTGAGCTCACGACAGCCCATTCACATGCGCGCGCGCATGGGGAAAGAAGCTCGGCACTAACTTTATGCTTGTTTAGATTGGCGAGGTGGTCACCACGATCCCCACGATAGGATTCAACGTCGAGTCCGTCACATATAAGAACCTCAATTTCAACGTCTGGGTATGCGAGAGGAACCCTTTGAATTTCTGGCACAGACCGAACGTCGAGGCTGACATGGCATGCGTGCGCCTGTAGGATCTAGGCGGTCAGACCAGCATCCGTCCGTACTGGCGGTGTTACTACGCCAACACGGCCGCCGTCATCTTCGTCGTCGACTCGACCGATATCGAGCGTCTGCAGACCGCCGCCGAGGAGCTGGGCGCCATGCTCAACGAGGAGGAGCTCAAGGACGCGGCCCTGCTCGTGTTTGCCAACAAGCAGGACCAGCCAGGCGCCAAGGGTGCGGGCGAGATCTCGGAGGCCCTGCGACTGGGCGAGCTGCGCGACCGCAACTGGAGCATCATGGCATGCTCAGCCGTCGACGGCAGCGGTGTGACAGAGGGCATGGATTGGCTTGTCGTACGTTGTCACCTATCAGCACCGCCGTGGTTGATATAACCACGGGTGCTCTTTCGCCCGATATGGACTAACTCCTCGTAGCAAACCGTCAACCAAGAGTCATAGAGGTCTGTTCTCGACCCTTGGACGCTATTTAACAAGCTCTCCAAAACCCCCATGCCTAACGCCCCCTCATGATTTATAATACAAGCCCCGCTGGGTTGGGTAGACCTACGCATTGTAGTATGTTGTACGTTTGCGAGCAATGAACGCGCAAGGTGTGACTCCAAAGCTTCACGCTCGCCTTGAACCGTCGGCGTTTCTGCTTTTGGGGACGGCGTAGGCAGAGCGAGAAGGCACGCTCAACGGCCGTTTCCACTCGTCACAGGCGTCTTGGACGGACTGTCGTATGAAGGTGTCGCTCAGACAAATTTCACTAGGCGATCAGAGGGTCAGAGGCGGGGAAGATGTGCAGACAATTCGAGTCGGTTCGTTGTTTTTATTTATACGTTCTAATACCAGCACGGGGACGTCGTACTGCGTCCCTGGTTCTGTTCTGATCCTGCCGGTCTCTGCCGAAGCGTTCTGTCTGATATCTATGTCATGCCGTGCAGACGATTGCATCGGCTCCCTCTCAACAGCACCCATTACTCTTCAAGCCCAAAGATATGATTCCATCATAGTCTTCCCACCATGGTGGTGGGTACGGATTGACCGCCATCGAACATGTTGAAATCCGGTTGGTCAGACAACATCGCATTCTGAATCATCAGGTCCAAATCCTGCGTATCCATCGCCGGCACGGAGCCGCCTCTCAAGACACTTGACGACGACTGTTTTTGGTTGCCTGTTGACAGTCTAGGAAGAAAATTGACGTCGCTCTCGCTGCTGAAGTGTCCAACAAGCCTCCGCCGTTTGTTGGGCCCCTGGGGGTTGTTTCTGTTGTCGTTTCTGGTGGCGCTTCTGGTGAGTCTTGTGGCTGTGGTGCTTCCTTTGGCTTCGGGTGTGGCCTTGCCGTTGGCTTTGCTTGTCGTGTTGCCCCCACCACTGACACCGTTGCCTCCATTGCCTCCATTGCCTCCATCGTCTCTATCGTCTCTATCGTCTCCGGAGCCCTCATCATTGCCCCCATCATTGCCTCCGTCGTTGCCATCGTCGTCGTTGCCATCGTCGTCGTTGCCATCGTCGTCGTTGCCATCGTCGTTGCCCCCGTCATTGACGTCGTCGTTGGCGTTGTTGTTGCCTTCATCGTGACCGCCACCTCCACCATTGCCTCCATTGCCTCCATCGTCTCCAGGGTTTTCATCGTGACCGCCCCCAGGACTTCTGGGGCCTGTGAGGTCTCTGCCTGGGCGTCCTCTGCGTCCTCTGCGTCCTTTGGGGCCTTGGAGACCTTGCGGACCTTGAAGACCTGTATTGACACCGATGACTTCGGGGCCTCCCGAAGCAAGGTAAGCCTAGTCCGCTTGAATGACTCGATGAAGATAGTTGATTTCTATCTTTGCTTTGTGCTTCGCGCTCATTGTCATATAGGCGGGTGGCATGCCAGTGTTGCTGAAACCATTAGTAGGTACGTATAAATTCCACAGCAGAGGGCAATGCTCACATGGCTTGCTGCTTCTCTTGCGCCATCCACCCTTCGTTGCGATTTAGTCGTCGCAAGAATTCGTTCGCTTTGACTTGCAATGCTTGGGCGCGAGCTCGGCTCATATTCTCGGACCCGCCGCGCAGCAAAACATCGGTGCAGGCTTGGACAAGATCAACGGCCAGGTTTTTCGCTTCTTGTCGAAAACTGGAGTGGTGAAAATGCAATGCGGCCGCCCCTGTATGCCTGGTAAGTATCTGTTGACGACGATGTGTACTTTTAACTCACACTGTTCGATGTCTTCCGAACTGTAATCAGCTCTTCCGTAATTCGTCGTCGGGACTTGGTTAGGGTGGACTCTGTACATGATACCACTTCGGAGACTTGGAGGTTGGTTGGCCATAATTTCTGCGTTTGCTATGCCTGCCTGCAATGCCGGTATGGTGGGACGTTATATCTTGTACTGGAATTGATGTAGCCAAGAAGTTATTGGGATGAAGATGGGAAGATGAGCAGATGACCGACGTTAACATGGGCTCATAAGGAAGACCTCCGGGGACGCTTCGGGCGGTGGAAGGTAAACACAACGACTGGTCACGCCTGCATGATGGAAGTTGAGACTGTGAAGCACTTGCCCGTTGGCTGGGTTTAAGTCGTGGCCGAGGGCAAGTACCTCTCGAAATGCGCTTCAACCCGACCTTCACGGTCGATCCCGTCACCCGCCTGCCCCGTATCATTTTTAATCCCCCCTTCTTGTCGCTTTCGGCGAGGCAATAACCTCGAGCTGCACTTGACCCAGCGGCTTCCCCTCCGGTCAACTTCTCATAACAGAAGGACCGCGATGGATGCAGTGGCTGCGCCATAGAACGGAGGCCATTTGGAAGGTGGTGGAAGGGATAGTAATAACGACGGTAGACGACGACGGTAGACGACGACGGTAGACGACGACAGACGATAGCAATAGGCGACAACGATAATATAAGCGATTAGAAGTAGTAAGGACAACAGCAATAATAGCGATAGTGATAACGATAGCGGCGACGATAGCGACAACCAAAGTGAGTATGTAGGAGACGTAGTCGTTTTGGTATAGGGAAAATAGGTCTCGGTAGGATATACGGATTACACGCGTGTGGTAGACGCTGCCCGGATAGCCAACTAACACTGCCCGGCTAGCAAGACTCTCCCTACTCCCAACTTCATAATCCGTCATGTCTTTCTTTTCCATCCTCCACTCTGACGTGGACCGTCCTTACCACACTACACAACTCAAGCCAGGCCACCCACCAATGCGACTGCTGCAGCTCCCATCGCCGCCATAATGAACAAGGACTCGACTCTGACAGCCGCCCCCGAGGCACCGTAGTCAGCAGCAGATGTAAGAGCACCCGGGCACCCCTCCTCCGGTGTGTTGGTACTAGTGCTGCCGTACAGTCCGACTGCCGCCATCTCAAAGGAGCACGTCTGACGTGTTGGTGACGAGGCTACAGAGGTCGATCCCGGCATCTTGTTTCTCACGTTTGATGTCGTCTCCGATGGATAGAATGGGCTTGAGACAGTTAGAGACGGGTCGAGGTCGGGATCGCCGGGGCTCAAGGCGGAGGTCGCAGTGGCTGAAAGGGTCAAAGACGCCGTGGTTGTTCTGGGTTTCGAGCAACCGAATTTAGGAGAGGTGCCGCAAACTTCGTCCACTTTGCAGCTCCAAGGCTCGTCTCTCTCAGGGTCGGCGCAACATATCTCGGTCTTGGCGATGCATCCTCTCATGCACGGTTTGAGTCCCTCCTCACATTTCTCGTCGTCCTGGCGTTCGGTGATCTGGGAAGCGGGCAGAAGCTCGGCTCCTGGTGCTGCCGCTGCCGGTAGGAAGAACGAAGCGCTGATAAGAGCTGTGATGAGAAGCATTTTAGGAGTCCAGAGCTGCACAAAGCTGAAGGCGCTGTGATGGTAAACGAAGTGTATAGAACACTGCAAGAAACCCTCGAAGTGGTCTTCACTATGACCTCTTTTATTCTCAGTCAGCTTTTGCCGTGATTTACCCCTTTAGCCAAATGTAATGCGCTCATGTTTGCTCAGATAACTTCCCTTCAACGTACACATCGGAGCCGGGTCGGATGCGGGTGTGACGTTTCTCCTCCGGCACGGAGAGTTTGCCATGTTTGCCAAATTCCACCTGCCCACCTCGTGTCAACTCAAGCTTGTCCTATTTCTTGTATCATGCTCATCATCTGGGGCAGTGCCGTTGGACAGTTGTTCCCGACAAGCATGATCTTGAAGGACGAAGCCTGCCCGTGGCACCCCAGAGCCAAGTTTGCCAAGAGGGGAGACAGGTCGGGACTTGTGAGAAGTAACCGATAGGCTTGATTCATTGCCTGGTGTTGAAAATGCAAAACCAACTACTGCAATCGACCTTCCGGGGCCGTGGGCTGCGTCGTCCCCAGAACCCATGGATTGCCAGATCCAGTATCGACCCTGTCCACTCAGGGGACGCAATGCGGATCTGTCACCGGTTGTCTGCAGAGCGTTGCGCGGCATTTTCTGTCATTCCGCGAATAATAATCTTCAAGCTCGTGCCCGTGTTGTCTGCGGCAAGAATGATGTATGCGTCCTGTGGGGTGACGTTAGGGCCCAACGACAGTATCTCTCATTTCCAGGTCCTCTTGACTGACTGACTGACGCAGGGTTATTGGAACATCCCTGATCACTCTCAGTTCGAGGGCCGGTTCGACCAGAAGGCAACATGCACGAAAGATAGAGAGAGGCCCTCACGATAGGATGCGAAGGCAAAATGGGAAAGCTTTTTAGAATCTCCAAGAGCCGGCAGTAGCATTGGTTACAAGCTTTGTGGTATTCGTCCTTTGAAGCAACTCCGAGGGACGTGTTAGCTTTGTCGGTCTCCACTGAAGGATATAGGGACATCTCTGAACTCGTTCGTCGTCTCCTGGAGCCTAGTCTGTGGACATTTACGAGGCTATCCTCACCAAAGATCTCACGGCTGGTCAGCGAGCTCAGCTGAAGGAGGTTCTTGCCGATGCCAAGGTTGTTCTGGAGCGAGCTCGCGGCGACCAGAGTGCTATCGATCGTGAGATCAGCAAGAAATTGTGTACGCATGACCTCGACTTTGCATGTCACCCAACTAATGTTCTGCAAGACAACCATGACGATGAGCCAGATGCACAACGCCCGGATTCAGGAAATGCACGACCACCTCCAAGCTGAAGCTGAAAACAGACGAAGTATGAGGTTCCTAGCCCGCCTGACTCTGACTGATCTCTTTGGCGAATCTCTGTCTTGGGCCACAGCCGTTGCTGCGCGGTGTCAAGATGAACGTCAACCTCGGAAACAGCCAGCTTTTGCCTGACAGTGTCTCAGGATTCTGGCAGAAGCAAACTTGATGCAGAGAACGAGGTACAAGATGGGCGGATAGAGACAGGCAGAGGAAATGGAAGTCATCGATGATGGATACTAGTTGATCTGCCAACTCCTATGCTCCATTTGAAGAGGAAGGCTTCCGCAAAAGGAGTGAAAACACGGTGACTTTGACAAGCGTGAAACTCATCTTTGGTAACAAACGCTGCATCCCCACGCCCTCTATGTGTGACTTCTTTACCTCTGAAGGCCCTCATATGCGAGGGAGATGTAGCTAGCGCTCCCCGAGTCAACAAGAAAGAGGGACAATAGGCAGTAATTCACAATTGTTAGAGATTCTAACGTATTGAGCTTCTCCATGTTTGGTATCTCTTGGCTGACAGGCAGCTTCGGAACGCCACACATACAGGGCTCGGCATCTTTCCGCGTTCGACCGACCCATTCCGTGGCTCCTCCACCAACAATGGTGGAGTGCCCCCGGAACAAGCCATCTCTCCATTTAAAAGTCGGCTTCTCCCGATATGCTCAGTCTTGATTACTTGAGTCTTTCGGGCCCGTTGGCATTTTAACCTTGGTTTCGCTTTACGCTTCGCACCTGAATCTTCCATCGATGCAAAAGCCGCACATCACAAGTTGGGTGCCAAAGTCCGGAGACCTCCGGGATATCACCGAGATGCGAGCCAAATTCTCGGCGGTCTCGGCGCAGCAGCGGTCGGAACGCCAGCCGGCCGTAGCGGAATGCGAACCGAAGGCCGATCATGTGAGAGCGCGAGCTGCCACTTTCTCCCTTTCCGGCAACGGGAAAACGTCGAGGCTGGACGCGACTCTGCTGCGTGGTGAGCCACCCAGACATGTCGCGAGCTCGGCGGTGTGCGCAGGATTGCCGTCTCCCGCTCCACTCCGGGGACAGGGAAGGCCATCGCGATAGGACGCTTCCCGGCGAGGCCTGCCTGTCTTTGACCAATGATGTCATTTTCTCTCCTGCATTTTTCCCGATTTAGGTAAAATACACGATGTGGGAATCCCGCTGTCTCTGGCTCGGGTCTGGAGCAGAAACAGAAATTCGCATAAGCATGGAGGACGGTTGACTTGTCGGGCAACGGAGAGAGACTCACTCGCATTGGATGTCGTCTGCGTGGTTCATCCAAAGGCCGATGGGGTTTGAATGTCAAGCGTGGTCTGGAGGCATACATACAGGCATGAACCTCGTCGCGCACAGCCGATTGGCGCGCTGCTCGACTTGCAACATCTTTTCCTCTTCAGACGTCTGGTCGGAATTTCTGGACAGTCGCAAAGCTAGCCTAACCGTCGAGGTGCATACGGGTGGTCTGATGGGTCCGTAGGACCAAACTCGTTGGTCACAGGCGACATGCTGTACCGGCCAAATCCATGTTGGCTGTCGTCCGTCTCAGCGAGTTTTCTCCGCATCGCTCAAGAGGCTGGAACCTCTCCAACTTGACGACAACCGTCCCGGTGCAGAGCGTCTCCCCCGCAACATCTGGGGAGGTCAGCAGCACCGGGACATGACTGGTGTACCCGGCAGCAGAAGACAACTTGGCAGGTTGCTGTGGGACCATGCCGTTGTCGGAGGGGCCAGGCGACGTGTGTGAGCCGAGGATGAGCGCATGTCCCGTCTCACAAGCATATATCACTGCTGACCCTTGCCGGATGTGCTGGTGTCTCCCGACGGCACAGCGTTGCCTGTGAACTCTTTAACGCAAGAGACGCGGCTACCTGCGTCTAAAGACGTTGCTCGGCGGGCAGGAGGTGAGCCGAGGTTGAGTTCTGTATCATGTTGGAAGACAGACAGAAAGATAGCCGACCGTCTTGCTGCTGAATCGTTTAGACACAACTCAGTGAAAGCCACGGGTGGAGCGACAAGGGGGCTGAAGAGCGCTAGGAAACCTCGAAATGGAGCTTCGTGTGGATCTCAACACCCCAAGCTTGCATTTATGTGACATTCCATTGGCCGTGTCGTGCCGGAGCTTCTCAAATCTGATGGCATCCCTGCCGGTCGACGCATGTCGTGCCCTGGCTTCTGCTTCGTAACTTGAGCGCCCTGAGTGGGAGAAAGTCCCCAAAAACCGAAAGAAATGGGGGGAGAGAAGGAGAGAAACTGGAGCACGATGGGGAGGGGCCGAGGTGAGGGCCCCATCGCAAGCTGGATGGATTGCCCGGGGGCATTTCTTTTTCTCTGCGCGCAGCCTTTGAAAGTATTTATGTTTCCCCTTCCCTCCCGCTGGACCCCTGAAGATCCTCTTTGATCTTCTTTTGATCTGAATTGCCAATTGCCGCTTCTGTTTCTTGATATCCAACTTGGACTCAAGCAGCTAAGCAACAACACTCTAGCAGTGTAACCCTCGAACCCGCCCTCCCACATCCGAACCCCCATAGTCTCATCCTCGATTCGAGAGACAGCCGACACAATGGGATCCGACGAGAAGCCCCCTTCCACCTACCGGTACAACGAGAAGCCGACTTACACCACCTCCAATGGCGCGCCGGTCCAGAACCCCCAGCACTGGCAGCGTCCCGGTCCCAACGGACCTCTCCTGCTCCAGGACTTCCACCTGATCGATCTGCTTGCTCACTTTGACCGCGAGCGCATTCCCGAGCGTGTCGTGCACGCCAAGGGTGCCGGTGCTTATGGCGAGGTATGGCGGAACAGCGGGCGGTCTCTGAAGGCGAGACACTGACATGCGACAACAGTTTGAGGTCACCCACGACATCAGCGACATCACCTCGATCAACATGCTCAACCAGGTCGGCAAGAAGACCAAGGCCGTCGTCCGTTTCTCTACCGTCGGTGGAGAGAAGGGTTCCGCCGACTCTGCGCGCGACCCCCGCGGTTTCGCCATCAAGTTCTACACCGAGGAGGGCAACTGGGACTGGGTCTACAACAACACTCCCATCTTCTTCCTCCGCGACCCGAGTCTTTTCCCGGTAATTGAAATTGATGGATTGGTCCTTCTGGCATTGTTCTTACCATTTTTAGGTTTTCATTCACACCCAGAAGCGCCACCCGCAAACTAACCTGAAGGATGCCACCATGGTAAGTCTCAACACCACAACTCGCATCACGACTTCGCTAACTCAACCAGATGGTAAGCAATTGATTCCAGGCTTCAAATAACTCTTTTTAACGTTAAATTCAGTGGAATTACTGGACAAATCACCACGAATGCGTCCATCAACTGATGCATTTGTTCTCTGATCGTGGAACTCCTTACTCTTACAGACACATGAACGGTTATTCCGGACACACGCACAAGTGGACCAAGCCCGATGGCTCTTTCGTTTACGTTCAGATTCACTTGAAGACCGATCAGGGAAACAAGACCTTCACAGATGAGGAGGCTGGAAAGATGGCTTCTGAGAACCCTGACTGGCACACTCAGGACCTGTTCGAGTCTATCCAGAAGGGCGACCACCCCAGCTGGACCGTCTACGTTCAAACCCTGACTCCTGAGCAGGCTCAAAAGTTCAAGTGGAACGTCTTTGACCTGACCAAGGTCTGGCCCCAGAGCGAGGTGCCCCTGAGGCCCTTTGGCAAGCTCACCCTCAACAAGAACCCCGAGAACTACTTCGCCGAGATCGAGCAGGTTGCCTTCTCTCCTTCTCACCTGGTTCCCGGCGTTGAGCCCTCTGCCGACCCCGTCCTCCAGGGCCGTCTGTTCTCCTACCCTGATACCCACCGCCACCGTCTCGGTGTCAACTACCAGCAAATTCCCGTCAACCAGCCCCTCAACGCCTTCAACCCCTTCCAGAGAGACGGAGCCATGGCCGTCAACGGCAACTACGGTGCCAACCCTGTAAGTTCAGATTCAACAAGTTGTTTAACATTTCAGTTTTATTGACCTCATCCAGAACTACCCCTCAACTTTCCGCCCCCTCAACTACGCGCCTGTCAAGGCCGCTGGCTCTCACGAGCAGTGGGCCGGCAAGGTCGTCGAGGACCTCTTCGGTCCCATCACCGCAGACGACTACGAGCAGGCCAACGGTCTCTGGAAGGTCCTCGGCCGCACCCCCGGCCAGCAGGAGAACTTCATCAAGAACGTCTCTGGCGCGATTGCTGGCGCCGTCCCCGAGGTCCGCTCGGCTGCCTATGAGATGTTCTCCAAGGTCAACCCCGCTCTTGGCGGTGCCATCATGAAGGCGACTGAGAAGATTGCTGCGTAAGTTTCCCGTCCTCATTCGTATCTGCATATTCTTCTCCGAAGACTAACACCGACATCAGTCCCGAGGAGCCCCGCGCCAAGCTGTAAGAAGCTACGATGTCACGATGCAAACAAAAGATGGCGATAGACAAACGACCTAGACGAGAGTCTCCTCACTTAGAGTCAAGCATGCGTTTGACAGGATAGACGCCCTGTACTACCACCACCTCCGCGCCGAGGTTCCAGGAGACACACAAGAAGCCGAGCGGGCAGCCATGGATGATGCGCGCCGCGAAGAAAGCTTGAAATACCCAAATACAATTGTTGAGAAACTGTTCTAAAGATTTATACATGATCTTGGTGGCGCATGAAAACCTCATGGCCTTGGTATATGTGCAAATGCGCCCATCCCTTTCCGTCCGTGAAATTCATAAGTCCTCATACGAGTCGCCCACCGCTTGCGCGGATCGGGGTTTCAAGAGCGGTCGCTTCGTGTTCTTCGACGCCGACTCGCATATTCGATCTACAAGAGTGAAGAATGAGGAGCAGCCGGTCGGTGCCTCGTTGTAACATCTGATCGGGCCGCCGCTAGAGTCGACTAACAGCAGCAGCAGCAACACTCGAGGCATTCGAAGCAGCAGAGGCCAGCGCAGATACCGCAGCAGATGGCCTGCAGCAGGTGAGAGTTGTTGGTTAGCTGTTTGAAATTCCAATGATGAGTCTCGAGCATCAACCTCCCCGAAGCTACGCGCGACTTGTGGGCGTCGATGTGGTTTTGCGAAAACGACAGGACTTTTACAAGACGTGGTCAAGTTTGGGGAAGTTGATGAGGAGAGAGAGAATCATGGGTTGGGGGGTATAGCTTACTCCGCCGTCTGCTTTGCCGCCTCGTAGGGACGTTGACTGTTCCATCTTCATGGGCTCTACCAATCGCTGGTACAAACCGTCAGCGTGGAATCGCTTGACATCTCAATTACGGAAAGAAGAGCTGCTCGTTCGAGTCCAGAGACCGAAAATCGTGGGTGATGGCGGAACTCACGGGTTGCTCGGAATGGTTCGGCTCCACAATCATCGCCGGTGCAGGCTCCCTTGGCATCTGGTTGTACTCGACCGGACCCGACATTTTGAAAATTACGTATTACACGGGGTGAGACTATTTCGTCCTCGAGTATTCAAGTTCTTCAATTGATGGGCGCCGCCGGGTATTGTATGTCGTCGCGTCGACTCAGACAGAAGAGGGCCGGGAATTCTTTCAGCTTCGAAACCAAAGGTGTCGATGTAACGTTGGAAACACGGATCGAAGGTTCAGGCACAACAAGAAAAAAAGGAAGAGAAAACCCCAGACCAGAAGCGAGGACGTGCGGGAAATCCTTTTTATTAATGAGCAGAAGATTCGAAGACCAGGCCGTAGAACAATCAGAAACCGTGGACCGCGCGCCGCCCTCGCCAGGTCCGGGGGTCTCTCTGGGCCCCCATCTGCATAACGGAAGGCAGACTGGCTACAGCTGGAAAGCCTTGGCCTGGAAAAAGAGAATTAAAGCTCAGGGCAACTTAATCCGAGCCAGACGAGTGGTCCGAAAAAGAGTGCCAGACCGGGGTGTTGGTACGACATCCGTTGTGTGAATACACTGATTTCAAAGGAAAAGCTGCGAGGATGGACTGGGCTTGCATCAGGCGGCACTTGCAGGTCGTGCTGCGCGTTCCGGTGTTTGCTGCGGGTTTGAGGACTACCACAGAAGCTGTTCGGCCGCCAGCCGAGGGCTGTTCACCTTGGGATAGGAAGGTGAAGCGGCTGGCAGCGTGATGCGAGCTCGGGATATCCCTTCATCGAGTCGTGGGCGGTGGTGCGAGACAAGGCTCCTTCGCCTGACCTCGTGGTGTGCCTGCTGTCGTGGATGGTGGGGGATCCTTGGGGTGGTGTACGTGGTGGGGGGGAATGACCTCAGCGAGGGGTGACGCCAAACGCGGGCATGCGGTCGGCACTGAGTAGTGACAGACGGTGGGAAGGTTGCGTCGCAAGGAAAAGTCTGTTCCTGCCTTGACATCACCTCTTGGGACGAAGATGCCTTTCAGTGCCTGTCCTGAATGGATTCATGCGACAGTGAGAGTGGAAGATGAGACGGTTGATGTTGGCTGCAGGAGGGGTTTGTAGGAATGCGACTAACGGGCTATTTTGAGGCTTACTAGTCTACGTTCATTTACATGCTAATAGTGACGCGGCACACTTTTTTGACGGATATGCTAAGAAAGGGTGCTGTTCGGTGGCAGTTAAAGTAAAGAGATCCCAGTAACCCGCCATGGGCTGACTCGGTCTGCCAACCAATGATCGGGTTATTGACGGGTTCTTTTTTCCTTCTTCTGGGCCCGAATCCGAGCGATCGCCGCTTACAATGATGGGCGATCTGACGTGGTATTACGGGCTGCAGGGTTGTGACGCCCAGAATATTCTTCAGCCCTTGGTGGGCGATTCAAGAGAGACAATCTGTTGCTCGACTTGGAAGCGACGTGTTTGGAGTTCGAGCGGCTTTCGTCGGGGTTAAGGGAAGGATTCAATTCGAAACCGCCGACTTCAGATGGAGGATCCAATGAAGTCGAGGTTGAGAGTGATGCGGTTTGATGAAGTTCGAGCTAGAATAGTATCGAGATTGTAAGATCTCACTTTTCAAACTTGCTTGCCGGACGTCGTATGTAGATTGCCAGGACTTGCACAAGTTGAGCGAGCAAGTCGGGTCAAATCAAGACTGGCCGATCGCCCACGTGAAGAGGCATGCGACAGGCGGCATTTTGACTAAGTTATGCCTGAACTTCAGCTCCGCGAGCATCTCGTGCGTGCTGCTGCAATAGGTAAGGTAGGCCGGTGCCGCATGCCACGGACCGAGTGGGTCCGAAACCGGAGTCGGACCCGGTAGACTCGGCGATGTCTCCGGTCAGGTGCACCGGCGACACTGCTTACATGCAATTCGAACAAACCTTCTAGAGAGAGAAAAGAGCGACCAGAGGAATCCGACCTGAAAATCTTGGCCGCACACACCCTTAGCACCAACAAGACCCCTAAAATCTGATGCAGTGGGATTAGCGCGCGCCCTCGGTTGGCTGAACCCCAGTCAAGGGATCAACAGCCGTCAAGCGGAGGGCGCAGTGTGGGCACCAAATCCGAGCCGATCCCCGCTACCTCTGCAACCCTTCAGACTTTAAAGCTCCCACCGGAACGGCTCCCGATCAAATCTGCGGCACTTCTCCAACTTGTCAATTGACAACAAAGTCTTTGCAACTGACGCCGCCAGAAGAGTCGGAAGCAATGTCAACCTCAGAAACCGAGCTGAGACACCTCCGCGCCGGGGCTGGCCCGGCCCCAACGGCACCTCCTCCGGCTGCGACCCCGCCTCTTCGGGATCCGTACGCCGCAGAGAGCCCCGAGTCTGGCTCCGGCGTCGACGACAATGTCCAGGACAACCACCACTCCAGCCAAGAATTCGATTCGCTCCCTCCCGTCGACGGCGGCAAGCCAGGCGTGGCTTTTCCTTGCCGCGTGCTTCGCCATCGAGGTGCTCGTATGGGGCTTCCCCTTCGCCTTTGGTGTCTTCCAAAATTACTATTCCACCAACGCCCCCTTCGCCGGGCAACCGAACATCGCCGTCATCGGCACCTGCGCCATGGTATGAATCCGACGAGCCCAGAATGCCCCAGACACTAACCTCCCCAGGGAATCATGTACCTCTCGGGCTTCCTCGTAATCGGCCTCCTCCGCCTCTTCCCCCACCAGAGCCGCCACGCACCCATCGTGGGCCTCTTCATCATGTGCATCGCCCTCGCCATGTCCTCCTTCTCCCAAACTGTGCCCCACCTCATCGTGACTCAGGGCGTCTTCTACGCTGTCGGCGGCTCCATCGCTTACCTGCCCTGCATCCTCTACATGGACCAGTGGTTCGTCCGCCGCAAGGGCTTCGCCTACGGCGTCATGTGGTCCGGCACCGGCCTCGGCGGCGTCATCATCCCCCCTCCTGCTGGAGTACCTCCTCGGCACCGTGGGCTTCCGCACGACGCTGCGCATCTGGTCCGGCGTCCTCTTCGGCCTCACCGCGCCCCTCGCCTTCTTCATCAAGCCGCGCCTGCCCGTCTCGCAGATGTCGCTCTCGCCCATCCACGCCGCGCCCTTCAACAACCTCAAGTTCATGCTGAGCCGCCCCTTTGTGCTGCACCAGCTCGCCAACATCGTCGAGGCGCTGGGCTTCTTCCTCCCGGGCATCTACCTGCCCATGTACGCCCAGAGCTCGCTCGGCGCCTCGGCCTTCCCGTCCGCGCTGACGCTGCTCCTCGTCAACGTCGCCTCCGTGTTCGGCTGCATCGGCATGGGCTCGCTCGTCGACCAGTTCTCGGCCCCGTCGTGCATCATGCTCGCCAGCGTGGGCGCCGCGCTCGGCACGTTCCTCATCTGGGGCTTCTCGTCCAGCCTGGGCGTGCTGTACCTCTTCTGCGTCGTGTACGGGCTCTTTGCTGGCGCGTATACGTCGACGTGGCCCGGCATTATGAAGCAGGTCACCGATCCCGAACGTGAAAAGGAGCGCGGCGTCGACTCGAGCATGGTCTTTGGCATGTTGGCTGCCGGGCGTGGTATCGGCAACGTCATCTCGGGACCGCTGAGCGAGGCCTTGATCAGCGGTTCCCCGTGGAAGGGCGAGTTGGCGCATGGGTACGGCAGCGGGTACGGCACCTTGATCATCTTCATGGGCGTGACTGCTCTCATGGGCGGAGCGAGCTTCTTCTGGAAGAGGATCGGGTGGTTGTAGAAGGGATTGGTGAATGAGTATGCAAGCTGAATTCAATTCTTTTCTAGAGCAGTCATCAGATGATCTATGTCAAATGATCTACCTCTGCGGACCTGTCCCGTTTTATTTTCCACATATCATGACCATTTTTGTTGCGCCGATTGTAGCCCCACAATGCAAGACTTCTTTTGTGAAATGATTGCCCCCTTTTCCTTTTCAAAATGCGCCAAAATTACTTCCGTATATGCAGTACTTTAAAAACAATTAAATATGAGGGATGTGCCTCGCCTAGGGGTATGACGAGTCACCACGCGCGAGGAGCGGTCGCTGGTCCCAGCGATCCTCATCGATGCTCTCGTCATCTTCCTCCTCAATGTCGCTGAGCTCGCCGTCGGTGCGGTACATGAAGTACTGCGCGAAGATGCCCATGTCGAGGAACAGGGTGCCCAAGCTGCCGGCCAACCAGCTGAGGTTGACCAGCATGTAGCGGCCATAGATACGGTTCGCCTCGGACGGGGAGCACTCGTTCTTGCAGTGGGGCTCAAAGGCAAAGATGCTCAGCACGTAGGTCAGGTTGCCGAGGCAGGCAAAGAGGAAGAAGAGCATGCTGACGCCCTCGGTGGACTTGCGGCGGTAGTTGAGAAGAAGCTGCGGCAGGCGAGAGCCGAGGTATAGGACGGCGCAGAGCCAGCCAAAGATCTGGCCGAGGGTGTTGAACTCCAGGGAATCTTCGTCGCTGTTGCTGTGATCGGGCTCCTTGTCGGAGTACCCGCGGCTGAGGAACCAGCCGAGGACGCCGGCGGCGCAAACCATGATGATGGCGGTGGTGTTCCAGGCAATCGCCTGCAGGACGGTCGAGGGCCTCGGCGGGGGAGCGGGCGCGGATTCGGGGCGCATTGGCACGGCAGGGGAGAGATGGGACCAGTCGGAGCCTCGGCGCTCACGCTCGATGGCCGACGCGGGCAGGAGGCCGGTCCGCTCGTTCGGCTCGCCGGTGCGGTTGCGCGGCTTCGGGGTCGGGGGAACCACCTCGTCCTTCCAGGTGAAGCCGCGGTAGTAGAAGCATTGTCCCAGCAGCACCATGTCGGCAATCGTGTAGTAGATGGCGAGGATGATCTGGGCAAGGAGTCATAGCGTTAGCCAGGGTCATCGATGCTCGAGGCATGCATGGGCCGTGACTCACCATGGTCGGGAGAACGCCCTGAAGGACGGCGCCCAAGATGTTAAAGACATCGCCAGCCAGCCAGACAATGATGAACTGCAGCGACAAACCGTCGGCACTGCCGCGGCGGAAGTTTTCGAGGATCTGGGGGGAGAACACCACAACCCAGCACGCAATTGAGATGGAGCTAGACGCAATGAGGTCAGAGGCTGTATATTGTGCAGGCGGACGTGTTCAAACTTACCCGCAAATGCCAGAAATGGCCTCAACATCGAGGTTGAGAGGCTCGGTAGGGGGAGCCATGGTGATGCGCAGGTCGGAGGCGTGATGCGACAAAGTGGTACCACAAAGGAGACAACGATATGAGGAAACAAAGGAGAAGAAGAAAAGATCCTAGGGAAGGAAGAGAAATGATCAATTAGTCTAGTAAAGGAATTGCCGACTCGATATTAGGAACGGCAATAGCAAAAAAGGGGTGTCCTCCTACAAATCCTGGCGATGTCGAGGGGAAAGACTTTTCCATGGACAAGACAATTGCGAAAATGAGTCGAAAAATTGGAAAGCTGCTCCCACTTCCGCTTCGGCGCTCGCTCGTGCCATCGGCGGACACGTGCGCCAGCAGGTATTTCGCCAGCAGCTTAGCGAGGTGCCACGACGTCACCGCTATTGCCTGCTGTCGCCGGAAAGGGTCGCCAAAATGCGGGGGAAGAGACGCTAAGACGCGCTGAAACGCCCACTTTTACCAGGTGCTGCTGTGCAGGAATTTAGTGCACTCAGCTCGTCCTCCAGTGCTGGACCGGGAACGCCCTGGGCGGTGGGCGATGGGCGATGACTAAGAAATCGGAATTTTCGCCTCGGCAAGATCCCCCAATCCACCGAACCTCGATTTTCTGGGCGATTTCGGGGGCCAAGTCGGAGTGGAGATAAGCTTAAGCACCTCATCTCACTTGACATCTGACTTGTCGCGGGCTGCCATTGGAGCGCCGTCCCTCTGTCACCAGCTCATCCCGGGGTCTCCTCCACTGGGTAAAGGCTCGCAATCTGTCTGGCTTCTCGCAACAGAGTTGGACCTGATGTGTCGGGCAGTGTTGGCGTCCATCGCTGGCGGGTGTCAGGCCGAATGCCGCGACAACTCCGGGTACCTACCTACCTGCCTACCTGCCTAGGGCGGGCAGGTAAGGACCAGTCGATGGCCTGCTCCCGCACGGCTGCTCTGCGCCCACAGGGGATCTCCGGAAGCTCCATTCATCGGAGCTCAGGCGGCGAGTCGTGATTCACCATCACGGCTCCATCGCATTGCGTCCCCGCCATCCGTGTCTCTTACATCTGATTAATCAGCCGGGACAGCCCGCCGCCACTACACGTCTTGAACATTTGCATCTCCAGGAACACTCCAAGTGACTGCTTGATAGACTCCAGCCATAATCACTTGTCTTGGTCCCGAGTGCTCAAGCCAGCCACCTTGTCTCCTGCACCGGCGACAACTGTCACACACACGCTCCCGGAAATCCCGCGATAGCTTCACCGCTGCCCAACCAACCTCGGCATGGGTTCTCAGATCCCCAATCTCCCTGCACCCGTCGACCACCCCGACTCGATGCTGTCCCGCAAGTTCGGACGGGAGACCGTCAACTACTTCGCCGGCAGCGCCCTGAACCGTGTTGGCTGGCTGCGGACCGACCACACCTTTATCAGATCCGCGTTCCAGGCCAAGGAGACCAACTTCATGCTCCTCAAGGACCTCAGCCCTTTGACCAGCGCCCCCTCAAAACTCGCATTCGTGTCTTTTGACGATGTCAAGTCTGTGACCTCGGAGGACCCCTTTGGGCCTTCCGAGGAGGACCTTATCAAGAACTACGACTCCTCCGTCTCCCGCCCGCTCATCATCTTCCTCGGCTTGGAGGAGGGCGCCAAGGTCCCGTTTGAGTACAAGGGTCTCCAAGGCCGTCCTTGGTTCGCCGTTGACGTGACCCCCAAAGGCCCGTACGCAGAGGCTGCCAACCAGCTCATCGCGGCCCAGTCTGCCAAGGGCAACAACTTCCTCCAGGGTACCAGGCATATTACTCTCGAGCCGGATGCTGGTAGGTCATCGTGAGAACCAATACAGTCTCCATACGCTAACACACACTAGCCGGCATCTACGCCCAGGCCAGGTCACTTGCCGACTGGAACTCCCGCAACAAGTTCTGCGCAGGCTGCGGGCAAATCACCTTGTCGGGAAACACTGGCTACAAGCGCCTGTGTCCTCCCACGGATCTTGCTGGAACCGGGGCTGCGCTTGACAGGCCCGAATGCCCCACGCGCGGCGGTGTCTCCAACATCAGCTTCCCCAGGACAGACCCGACCATGATCGCCGCCGTCGTCTCTGCCGACGGCCAGAAGGTGCTCCTTGGTCGCCAGAAGAGGTGGCCTCCCCACTGGTACAGCACCCTCGCGGGCTTCATCGAGCCGGGCGAGTCCATCGAGGAGTCTGTCCGCCGCGAGGTTTTGGAGGAGAGTGGTGTGAGGGTTGGCAGAGTCGTCATCCACTCGAGCCAGCCGTGGCCGTACCCTGCCAGCTTGATGATTGGTGCCATTGCGCAGGCCCTTCCTGACGGCGAGACCATTGACCTCGGAAACGACCCTGAGCTCGAGGACGCTCAGTGGTTCCCTTTTGAGACTGTGAGGGAAGCGCTCAAGACCGGCGTGAGCGGCCTGGGAGAGGCGGCGCCCGAGGGATACAAGGAGGGCAGCCTCCGTCTGCCTCCCCCCACGGCCATTGCCAACCGTCTGATGACTGCGGTGATTGAGGGATACGCAACCACCATCCCCAAGATGTGAGTGAGGGTGTGATGTGGGCGCCGGCGGGGTTGTAGCGAGCATAGACGAAGGATAGAACTGGATGAATAGACGTGAAAGTATATGCGTGACGAGATGACACCTACATGGTGAGATGTACTGTGAATGCTGTGTTATGGTGACATTTTGAGACAGTTCGGGTTCAGAAGACGGGCGTAGACGGCGAAGACGACGGTACGGACAAGAAAGCTGGCTGATGTCGAGCAGTCAACGACTACGTTCCTGGCAAGCGTTAGCCGCTCGAGAAAAATGACCTGATCTGCAAGCCAAAGCTTCAACAACGGGTCAGAGAAGTGTAGTTGAAGTTTCGAACAAGCATCCGTCGATCAGAACATGCGGAGATTCAAATCAGTCGACTCTCCGGGTTCTCACGCATGACGGCGGCATAGGGCTGAAGAGCCGCCAACGCAAAGTCCCCTGAAACCCCTGCACTGCCCCACCGACGGCGCTACGGACAGCGTGTCAGCGCCGGAGAACAACCAAGCTCCAGCGCCAGCTCCCGTCCCGTCGTGGACGGTAAGCTCCATCCACCTCACCTCCATCGTCCCCATCCCGCCCTGCGCCGCCAACGAAGCCTCCGTCGCCGATAACCTGCCACGCCGCCCCGCCCGCCCGCCCACGACCGCGCGACGAGCTTGTCCGCAAGCGACCGCTGCCCACCATGTACCACCTCGCAAAGGGCCTCTACCTCTTGGCCACCAGTAAAGAAGGTTCGCGCACATGAAACGACACGTCGTCTGGCCGGCTCTCGCTAACCTGCTCCCTTTGCGCAGAGTACTCCGTCATCCTCCTCGGCCTCGACAACGCCGGCAAGACCACCTTCCACGAGCAGGTCAAGTCGTTCTTCCTGCCCTCGCACCCAGACCCGAAGCTCAAGACCGTCCCGACCGTCGGCCAGAATGTCTCGACCATCACCCTGCCGGACATGTACCTCAAGATCTGGGACGTCGGCGGCCAGCACTCGCTGCGCCGGCTGTGGCAGAGCTACTACGCTTCCGCGCACGCCATCGTCTTCATCATCGACTCGACTGATATCGGCGACGGGAACCTGGAGCACGACAGCTCGGGGCGTCTGGAGGAGTGCCGCCTGGTGCTGGAGGACGTGCTGCAACACTCCGAGACGGAGGGCGTGCCGGTGCTGGTGCTAGCCAACAAGCAGGATCGGGAGGACTGCGTCGAGGTTGTCAGGATCAAGGAGGGGCTGGTGAAGAAGGTGTTTGAGGGCGAGAAGGCGAGCAGCATCCGCGACTCGAGGGTGCTGCCCGTGAGCGCGCTGACGGGGACGGGCGTGAAGGAGGCGGTGGAGTGGGTGAGGTCGCGAGTGAAGTGGAACAAGGAGTCGAGGCCGCCGGTGATGCGGTGATGCTGCGTACGGGGAATGTTCGTTTCGGTTCACGAGGCAATGATGTTTCACAAATCATTAGAGCGGCGTTTCTGGAGTTTGGCCCCAAGAGGAGGACGAGTACCCCACGGGAGAAGATGTTCACTACCAAAGTTTGATGGTTCCAGAGAGAGCGTATATGGCTGGGTATCATTTTACAATTTTTCTTCTACGTCAGGCATGACAAATCTATGCGTCCACTACTCTGTCATTCTCCGCAGACAACAGCTCCGAGATGAGACCGCCCTTGTCCCTCCGCTTGGCGTCGTCCGCGAGCTTCTCGTCCACCAGCGTCGAGAAATCCTTGGCCTTTTGCAGTGCCACGTTGCCGCAGTGTAGCAGCGTCACCGCCTCCACGGGCGTCCCTCCGAGTTTGGAAATCTGGCTAATCTCTCCGTGCTTGTTCAAGCTGACCGTCAGGCTGCTCGTCCGCAGCTGCTCCTCGAGCCAGTTGGCGTCGATGAGGGTGATCTCGCCCTCGTCGCCGTAGAAGCTGAAGGTGACGCAGAAGGGGCTGTGCAGCCAGCTCAGAGGTACTGGTTCGCGCTCTGCCGGGGTGAAGATAGTGAGAGCCTCGCCCTCATTGCTGGTGTCGGGCTTGCGGAAGTGGCGCAGGGCGGCGATGACGCCGAGGCAGGCCGCATCGGTGAGGTTGCCGTCGTGCGAAAGTACGTGGACGTCGGCGCGGACGGACCAGACCTTCTGGCCGGCAACGAGACACAGCGACTCGGTGTCGAGGGCGCCGGACCGGCGGATCGTCTTTTCGAGCAGGCGTGAGAGCAGGACCTCGGCTTCAGTTGGGCGATTGACCTCAAAGGCCGGCGACGCCATGGGGCTCAGCTCAGTGACGATTTGGAAGATGCCCTCAAATGGGCGGTCTGCGTAGGGGACTGTGACTTCTGCTGAGACTTTGACGAGAATTCTGTGAGATGGGTCAGCACATGCCGTTCTTTGCTTCTCAAGAATTGACCATTTCCGTACGTCGTCTTGCCCAACTCTACATTGGCCACCCCATACTCATCACCGAAAGTGAGTTGGACTTTTCGGTATTGGTCGAATTCGCGGCTGTCAAGCCTCAAGTTCTCCTTGAGAGCTTGTGTGACGAAGGTCTTCTCATTTGCTGATGGCTCTGCTTCTCTGGGCATTTTGGCGGTTGGACTCTTGCTGTAAAGGGCCGATTCTCACAGTTCAGACTGAGAGCCACTCTGGAGTTACTGGAAGTGTTTACTGAGGTCAATCGTATTGGTGGGGCGCCTGCAAAAATTCTGCCGGGCGGTGGATGCCTTAGCTCACAGTACCCCTGCAGCTGAACCTGGGCCTGTCAGCCACCTGCGCGTGCAGCAGTGCATCTGGAGAAGGTCCCTTTTGCGACCCAGTTTAGCCAACTTCAATCATCAACACGACTTCTACATCTCGACACAGCATTCCAAGATGACCACCGCTCACCGTCCCACCTTCGACCCGGTACGCTCAACCTGTCCATTCGCTCTTTCTTTTGAATACTAACAAATGAATCCAGGCACGAGGCAAAGAAGCCTTGCGCGGCCCAGCCTATCATCAACGCCTCCTTCCGGCGCACACGCAGCTCAAGTTCCGCCAGGCCGGTCAGGGCGGCGAGGCCGACGACGAACCACGCGATCTCAGAGCCGAGCTCCTCGCCGCCGAGGCCGCTCACTTCGCCAAGAAGAACGGCGGTGCTCCTCCCCCATCCGCTGTCGACGACGACGCGCCTGCCGGTGGCATGAAGCGCGCTCTGGAGGCGGCATCACAAGCAGATGGCGAGGAAGACTTTGAGACGAAGAGGCGGAGGATATTGGAAGAGTCGCGAGATATAGACGCCGATTCGGAAGACGAAGAGGAGGATGATGATAGCGACAGCGACGAGGACAGCGATGACGAGGAGGCAGAGCTGCAGCGGGAGATGGAAAAGATCAGGCGCGAGAGGGCGGAGAAGAGGGAGCGCGAGGAGCGAGAGAGGGCCAAGGCGGAGGAGGAGGAGAGGGAGCGGGACATTGCGCTAGGGAACCCGCTGCTGAACAAGCCCGACTTCGCCATGAAGCGACGGTGGGATGACGACGTCGTCTTCAAGAACCAGGCGAGAGGCACCGAGGAGAAGAAGGGCAAGGAGTTCATCAACGTAAGTTTGTTGTGTTGATTGGCATGTGTGCGGCTTTGCTAACTTGAGTACAGGATCTCCTCCGTTCAGATTTCCACAAGCGATTCATGAGCAAGTACGTTAGATAGATACCCACCACCGACTTTAGAGGAATTCAGTTTCGTTTCGCATCGCATATCGTTCAAATGTGGCCTCGTATCCTGTCGATCTTGGCGCATGAGTGGCAAAACGACCAAAACCTGCGACTACAGGATCTTCCTCATATCGCCCCTGGACCTCATCACACCGGCCTTCTTGTCGATGAAGTTCTTCTCGTCGGGTTCAATGACGTTGAGGTAGTAGTCGTCCTTGAAAGCGGCTGCAAACACCTCGAAGCTGGGTAGTTCGAAGACGGCGCATCCGTCGAAGCCCTCCAAAGAGTTGGCATCGCGAGACTCGGGTCCTATAGGTGTTGTCCCTTTATTCATTGCCTGCGCGGCATGGACCTGTGACGGGGAACGTTCTTAGTCGAGGCATTCATCGGTGAGTGTGGCGTGTTTACCTGGGTGTAGGAGATGAAGCCGTGCTTCTCGGCCCAGGGTCTGACAAGAGGCCCGTGGACGTTCTCCCAGTGATGGTAGAACTCCTCCTGCGTCAAGTCCGCTTTGCGCTTGAGAAAGGCGATGCTGCAGACTGTGTTCTGTGGCATCTCTGTGGCAATTTGGCCGCTCATATTGGTGATGCACGTTGACATGTGACGCTAGGTCTATCTCTAGACAAGTTGTGCAGTTCAAAACACGATGAACACATTCTGATCGAGAACCCGTGAGTTTTAGCACGTTGGGTTTTATTGGAATCTGCGGGAGCGCTTCAGGGTGCTGGCCCGGATAACATCAACCGGCAGTGGCTTGGTGCAGGTTGCTGTTTGCTCTCCAATGTTGTCGACACGCACACACACGCAAGTAGTCTTCAGGTCCCTGCAGCTCACAATTGGATTGGGCCCAAAGTACCAGGTCTTCGGAGCAAACTCCGCCAGTGTTGCCCAAATTATTTCCTTGCACACATATCACGATGTGATCGATTTCGCGTGGGTTGGACGGTGAAAGCCCGGCCGTTCAACGTGCCCGTTTGCAGCAGCTGTTTACGGAAGCTTGGGGCTGATAAATTGTTACTTCAATTGGAGATGACACAGAATGACAACGTGGACATATTGCTCCTTCTGCGTAGCTTCAGCATCGGGCGTTACTGCCACAGCTCTCTTCTTTCTCTTGCCTCTCCTTCCTGGTCGCTGTTTCTTTCCCTGCCTGGGCAAGGTAGATACGGAGGGCCGCCACTTCCGCCAGGGCCGCTTGATGGACGACTCATCAGACGAAGAGCTCTTCAGCACCGGTATCAATGCCTTGCCCCGTGATGTCATTTTCGACGATGTCGCCAACAGCAAGTACGGACGTAAACGCGACTTCGCCGCGGAGGGCATCATTGAATCCAAGCCTCTCCGGGGAGGGCCATTCGGAGGGGACTAAGACCTCAACAAGAAACCACAGGGTAACGTCATTCCTACCGTATTTGAACCAGGCAACGACGCTCTATCCCCGGTGGACCACTTCCCTCCCGGTGTCAGCACAAAGGCAATACCAAATGTAATCCGCTTCATAAACCGCTACGACAAGTCAGAGGCCCTCATTTATACCGACGGAGCCTGCCTCGACAACGGCGCCGCAAAGGCCCGCGGCGGCTGTGCATTCGTCTTCAAGCCCACTTATTCTGAGAAGGAGTCCGGTGTGGTCTCTTTGCGCCTCGAGGACCAGGGTCCGGGTGGCGAGGTTTACCAACACACCAGCAACCGCGCCGAACTGCGTGCCGTCATCGCCGCAGTGCGGTTCCGCGAATGGTACGGTGAGGGCTTCAAAAGTATCGTCATCGCTACGGACTCAACGTATGTCGTCAATGGTGCCACGGACTGGGTGCGTGCATGGATGCGCAAGGACTGGCATTTGAGTACCGGCGGCCGCGTCAAGAATCGTGACCTATGGGAGACGCTTCTGCTCAGGATCGAGCAGCTGAAGGCTAGGGGCATGCAGGTTCGGTTCTGGAGAATCCCGCGCCAGTGGAACGGCGAGGCAGATAGGGCGGCCAAGGACGCTGCCGCCAATCTCCCGGTGTCTGAGAAGTTTTGCGACGTCCATGGTATTCTTTGCTAAGAGGACTTTGGCTTACTGTTGCACCTTGCTGATTGGGAGTGGTCAAAACAATACTCTTCAAATATTGCGTTCAGCGCAGAAACGAATGGCAGATCGGTTGTGTGGCATGGCTGTAAGCTAGGAAGGGATGTCTCGTGTATGAACTACTCTGAGCAGCCAAGCCCAAAATGGGGTTTAGCAACCCTGTAACATCAAACATAATTCACATAACCACAGTTTCTCACAATGTGCCACAAGTGTTTGTTCGGAAAGGGATGATGTATTGGCCGGCTCCTAATCCGAGCGCAGAGCTTCCTATGATTGCCCGTAGTCCTTTCCCATTCCTAGGCCAGCGTGCCTCATGCACTCATCACAAGCGCGCGAGGACGCAGCCCCATCGGTACTCTAGCACAGGCGCCGTAGAAAACCAACGACGCGCTTAGTAGAGGCGCTTGGGGGGAGACATGGTAGCCTTGATGGTAAGGCTACCGACGTTCTGCCAGCCCTTCTTCAGAAGGGAGACGAGGTAGTTGATGGCCAACATGATGTTACCAACGAGCTCCTCCTGGGTCATGCCAACGTTGCCGACGGCGACACCCATGCAGAGAACCTTCTTCAGCTGGAACTTGATGGTGGACTTGACCTCGTTGATGCGGCCAGTAAGGTCGTCGGAGTGGGAGACGGGGGTGGGGAACTTGCCGGCTGCGAGGTGTTGTTAGCTGCTGTTCGATTGTGGCAAGAGAGGAGACGCGACATACCCTTGGACAGACCAGGACCCAAGAGACGGGGGATCTGCTTGATCAGAGTCTCGGAAGCGACGAAGGCGTCGTACTTGCGAGCGAGCTTCTTGATCAGCTTCTTGTTCTTGTTGAGCTTCTTGAGATCGTCGGCGGACATGGCGTCAACGCCACCGTGCTTGGCACGGTCGATATCGTGCTGGTCACCAAGAATGCAGATGCTCATGTTGGGACGGGGAACGATGGGCAGGCGGACGGTTCCGGAGAAACGCTTGTCACGCTGGGGGTCATAGTTCTTGAGGCCGATCTGGAGCTCGACAGTCTCCTATGGGGGGGTTAGCGGTTGTGGTTACGATTGACGTTGCGCAAGTCTTGGGGTTTCTCGATTCGAAAAATGCTGCGACGCCGCCCGGAGAGGGAATACTGACAAGGAAGTTGCGCTTCTTGGTCTCGAGGGAGTACTCGAGGAGCTCACCGACCTGAGCGCGGACGTTGGCGACCGTAATTTTCGACATCTTGGCGATATCTCCCAGTAATCTGGTGCTTACGGTAGATGTTGATGGGTTGTCGGGTGATGGATCGAAAAAAAGAAGGAAAAGCTTGAGAAAAGTTTGGGCGGGGCGCTCGTTTTAATTAGGGCAGAGGGGATGGCCACTTGTGGGTGCGGCCCGTGCGCGTGTCGTTCCAGAAGGCGCAGGCGATTGGCTGAGGGGCCCGCCGCCCGCCTGCCGAATGAGTCTTCGCCGGCCGCTGCAGTGAGTCGACTGCCCCTCCATGTACCTTGCTGGTAGTGCCCCTCGGTGGTGAAAATTCATTGCATGTCACTCGGCGCGCGGTACGGCATACCATCGCTCTGACGAACTCGTTTTGCGCCGGGCATTTTTATGTAAGACTTCGGTGCGAAAGTCAAAGTACGAGATCAGGTGCATCGCCGTCATACGCCACAGAGACCCTGAGGATCGCGCCAACCCCTGTCACTCATTCGGCCAGTACTTCGCTTCTGTGCCCCTCAGTTCTACTCCATCTCGCCGTGCCCCTCCATGATGAGATCGCAATGAAGCAAGACGCCCCCAAGTACGAGAGTTTCGTCAACCCGAGCGACCTGCTCAAATGGGTCGAGGAGCAGCCGGAGGAGTCATGGACGCCGTAAGAATATTCCAAATAAAGAAATTCCAAAATATTGTTCTGTGGGTGTAGTTGGTTGACTTTTGCACCCTAGTCTCGCTCAAGACGTGTTTGACCACCTGCTGTCTCTTGCCGCCCAGCCGAAAGGCATCTCTGGGAACTCATGCGTGAAGCTGTGTGGATTTGTCGAGCAAAGCTCCAAGTCCAGTAAGCCCGCCCTGAGAGAATGGGCCTTCTCCAAGGAGCCCAGCTTGGGCCTGTTCAACTTCTTCATCAAGTGGAACGAGACGGAGCAGCACCGGTCCATGAAGCTGGTCCTGGAACTGCTGCCTTCTCTGATCAGGCGCAATCCCGACCCGGCTGTTGCTGAGGTGGTCAAGACGACCGTTCTCGACACCCTCATCTCCATCATCGGGCCGCAGTCCACCAAGCCCTTATTGAAGTCTTCATTAAAGGCAATGGACTACTTTGCTGCCAAGGTTTTTACCGTTGAAGATATCGCCGCCAGCTATAGGCGCACGCAGCCTTCTTGCAGTTGGGACTCTGAAATGGCGCTGTGGCAAGACTTTTTCAGCCAGATGCTCGGCTGGATGACGATGCACTACGTTTGCCCCACTGCCGGCAAGTTCATCGTGACCACCTTCCGTGCTTTGCGCCAGAGTTCTCTGAAGAACCCCCAAGCAACGGGTACCGATGGCTTCAGCGTCGTGGCTTGGCTCCGATGGGTTCAAGCCGCTATTGACGCGACCCCCTCTCTTTTGGAGGGTGTCAAGACATACGTTTTCCTTCCCCTGTTCAAGGATGACCGCAAGGATTCGGTCCAGATCCTGCAGCAGATCAACAGCTCATGGTCTGCGTCTGATTCCAGTGCCGAGCTGGATACTCTTGCCCAGCTGAACCTCGCAGTCCTGGAGGTTGGCAAGAAGGTCGGCATGGTTGAGGAGCCTGGTAAGTTGTTTGACCCCTGAGTCTCTACGATTGCTCATCATGATCTCCAGGTGCCATCGTCCAAGAGGATTCCTCGTCAGTAGTGTTGGAAGAGGAGGTTCTCCAGAAAGTCCTTTCGCATCCTTCCCATGAGCTGCGTTCACTCGCCCTGTCGCTCATTATTGCGTCTCCTTCCACCACCAGGCCTTACTCCCCCGTAGCTCTCCGTCTGCTGCAGGTTCACTTGCAAACGTACTTTTCAGAGTCGGACGCAAAGTTCCGCATGGAGGTTCTGAGCAAGCTGAAGGACATGTTCAAGCGGAGTCGCGGCGCCATCTTCATCCTGAAGAAGAGTCTCGACCGCGTCAAGGCCATCAAGGCGTTGCCCCCTCCTGCTGACGGGAAGCCCAAACCCGCCCCCAAACCTGCAAAACAGGCCCACCACCGCACCAACATCCTATTCTGGCCCGAGGACAAGCTCATCGAGAGCTTGCAGCAGCATGAAGAGTTCCTGGCTTGGTATCTGCGGTTCCTGCGCTCAGAGCTGATTCCCACTGCGTCCTTCCAACGGCACTTCACTTCGCTGAGGGCAGTCATCTTCATCCTCAAGCTCGAGTTTGACCAGTCCAAGACCTGGGAGACCGAGGACGACGAGAGTCTATTCTTCAACCACTTTGATGGAAGATGGACTCGCACACTCCTCGACCTCATCATGGATCCATTTGACGACGTGCGTGAAGCCAGCACCTCTGTCTTGAAGAGCCTGTTCTCCGACAGCCGCTTCAAGTGTCTCACCGGGACGCAAGGAGTCTCGCCAACATTGGAGGAGTTCTTGGCCAGGGCTGAAGATATCGCCAGAAGAACGGCTCGCGCCGACCACGCCGACGGTGTAGCCCGGACCAACGAGCTCCTCTTCAGATTCTATAGCGGCCGAGACGCCCAAATCGCCCACATTGCCAAACTGATTGACCTCCTCGAGACCAAGCTCTCCTTCGCCGAGGGCGACCTTGGCAATGCCGTTCTCGAGGCCCCCGTCCACGGCTACTTTGCCTCTCTCCGCTACATTTGGCAGGCCGCTGTCGAAATGAAGTTCTCCGAGTCCGAAGTCGCGACCATGACAACCCTACAAACCCGCATCGTCAAGTGCTGCGAACGCATCTGGGCCGCCGTCCGAGATATCCTCTGCGACGATTCCCCCGAAGGCCACCTCCCCCAAGAGCTCGAAGACCTCGAAGGTCTCGACACGAAGGACCTTCTCAGCTATAGCTTCCGCGCCATTCACGAATCGAGCAGTTTGATGCGCGTCATGGTCCTGCCACTCAAATCCAAGCCCCAGCCAGAGACCCTCCGCCCATCGAACTCCCTATTTACGACGGTTGGCACTCTAACATTCACTCAATTGTCCAGCCTCCGCCACCGCGGTGCCTTCAACACAGTCTCGCTCTCCTTTGCGACCTGCTGTCAACTGGTCAAGCACCTTGATGCTTCGGACGACGGATCTCAAAACCTCCTCGATGTCTGGTACGCCGGGACAAAGGAATGCATCTTTGCCCAGGCCTCCACAACTCGTCGCTCGGCAGGCATCCCCGCAATGATCACCGGTATCGTTTCCGCCAACGCAGCGCAACCATCCTTTGACGACGTGATTTCAGAACTCGTGACCATCGCCCAGAAGCCTGCTTACGTCTCCAAGATAGACGACACCAAGCTCCCGCAGGTCCATGCCCTCAACTGTCTCAAGGACATGTTCAAGTCCTCCTTCATCACCCAGCTCGGCAAATCCGCCCCGCACATCCCGCAGTGCCTCGAGCTCGCAGCGGGCAGTCTCAAGTCGGAAGTCTGGGCGATTCGCAACTGCGGTCTGCTCTTCCTCCGCAGTCTCCTCGACAACCTCTTCGGCACAAACGAGAGCAAGGCAACGCTGGAGGCAGGCTGGGACGGGCGTACAACGCGCCTGCAGTACCACAAGTATCCCATCCTCCCCGACGTCCTCCTCAACCTCCTCCGCTCAGGCCGCGAGGTCATGAAGCCCAGCACGAGCACCATTGCCGCCGAGTCCGTCTTCCCCGCCCTCGACATCATCCGCCGCGCCGGACCTCCCGACACCTCACGAGACGAGCTCTACGACCTCGTCACTGGGTACCTCGGCAGCCCTGTGTGGCATGTCCGTGAAATGGCAGCCCGCGCTCTTTGCTCGTTCCTCCTCCGCGACGAGGACTGGGTGAACGCGGCAGAGAAGATCATCACCGACGCTGTGGCCTCTGATGTCTCAAATCGTAACAACCACCTTCACGGCAGCCTCCTTACCCTCAAGGCCGTCTTCGAGCGCCTCTCCGATGTCTCCCCCCAAAAGTTCTCCCTCGCGATCCCGCGGCTGACTTCGATCCTCCAAAACCTTGAAGCAAACGCTCCTGCATGCTTCTTGTCCACGCCAGACATCCGCGCGGCTTACCTCGAGGTCCAAAACCTCATCTCCAACTTCACTCTCACGATCCCTACGACACCCGCCTCAATCTCTCAGCCGCCGCAAAGCGCCCTCCTCCGTACGCAACTCGCCGTCAATGCAGTGCACACCTACCCCTCCGCCGCCTCCCTCCGCAACACTCTCCTGTCCACAAGCACGACCTCCGTCGAGGCGACAATCACCATCCTGGAAACCCTCTCCAGTGTGCGTCACCCCCGTCTTAACCCAGAGGATGCGGCATCCTACGCAGCCCTCTACACCGACCTCGCCTTGTCGACAACCCACCCCGATCTCCGCGCGGCAGCCCTCACAAACCTCGCCTCAAATATCGACCTCGTCCTCTCCGCAAACCAGTCCACCCTCCTCCCCGCCTCCTCAACTCTCATTACCCTCTGGCAAGACACAAACACAAAGACGATAAACCCCAACCTCTCCAACGCCGTCATCCGCGCCAGCGGGCCCTTGCTGGCGACCCTCGTCCTCCGCGGCGATGCCACCTCGCAATCACTCCTTGGCTGGGGTACAATGATGTCCTCCGCCGGCCACGACTCCTCCCCCTTCGACACCCGCATCGCTGCCGCCGCCTCCCTCGCCTCCTTCTTCTCCGTCGTTTCCGCCCCAGACGCAGACGCATCCCGCCTGCCCGCCCTGGTCGCCCTCTACGACGCGCTCAACGACGACGACGACGAGGTCCGCGACATGGCGTGCCTCTCGGCAAAGCACATCCTTTCGCAGTCCCTGGCGCCCCTCGACGCAGCGGACAGGCTGCTCAGCCACATGTCGGCAAACTACGCCTCGGCGCCGTCCTTCCACACGTTGGTGGGCTCCCGCATGACGGGCCAGACGACCGCCGAGTCCCAGCTGACAGAGGCTCTCCGCTTCGACGACTCTCTCTTTGCAATCGAAGAGCAGAACCTCTTCGTCGACGAAGTCCGCGAGTCTCGCCGCTGGGCAGCCGTCTTCGAGACCGTCGTCGGCGGCACGGACAACGAGCAGCTA